CCCCCTTTGGCAATTTTCAGAAGAGCGGCATGGGCATGATGGGCCTGGGCGTGGGAGGGGCCGGGAAGTACGTGCCCCCCAGTCGTAAGGTGGGCTTCTCCGGCCGGGGGGAGTCTGGGCCTGAGGGTGCGGCCAACCCCATGGCCATGGGCGAGGACCACACCAAGATCAGGGTGACGAACATCAGTGAGGACACTACGGAGGGTGACCTTAAAGATCTATTCAGCGCCTTCGGCAGGATCAATCGGTGAGGGGGGGAGTGTAGTCATGCCGTACTCTTGGGAACATTGACCTCGCATCGGGGGGGGGGGGGGAGGGAGGGAGTACTCATGTGAACGCATGCCGTAGTCGTGATGCCAATGACCTCGCATCCCGACAACGGAATGATGTGCCGGGTTTTCTCCGGCCCAGGCTGGTATCATCGGTGAAAGGTTGTCGGTGGTTCGGACGATTTGTTTTCTTCTTTTTCTTATTTGACGACGCGCTGTGTTTGTTTTGCTGTGCTGCCGAAAGCTATCACCAAGTGTTGGAAAGGTTCCCTGATGAAAACCGGGCGCATGACATGACATACTCGTTCGATACCCGCCTGTGAAGGCTACCACCACACGGGGCAAGTGTTGTGCACCTAGTGTTTTCACTCCAGGACCTCTGTTGGGCGCCTCCCGGTGAAACAACAGGTTGGACGTGCTATACGGAAAACCGGTGGCGACGAAAAGTCGTATCTTGGCGACAACCCCACCCCCCTCGTGCTCGTCCTGCGATCGAGTTAAAGGCTTCTGTCCTTCATTTTTCTCTGTGTAGGTCGCATATTTTCTGGCGGCAGTCAGTCCACACGACCTCTCCGGGTATTTTTTCCATGTTCGACGTGTTAGTCGGGGTCGGAAACATGAGAGGGTGGCCGTACAGGTGCGTTTTCCTCTTGTGTTGGCCTATTGTTTTGTCTTCGTTCGGTTTTGAGTTCTTCTTCCCTCCCTCGGTGCACGCTTTCTGCTACGTAATAGGGTATACCTGGCGAAGGATCCCGAGACGATGCAGAGCAGGGGGTTCGCGTTCGTGTCGTACTACCAGAAGAGCGACGCAGAGTCGGCCATGCA